TTGAACATAGTTATGGATTTATTAGAAATATATGAAAACTTTGAGATTCAGTTAAAATTCAAGTGTTGAAAATTCTGAAGTCAGTGAAGTTTAATTGGCTGGTTTTAAATGCAATTTTATCATATTTTCTCTGAAATAGAACCGGTAAAACTCAAGAGCTTGCTGACCAAATCGTTTATCCTACTACTCATGCCAGGATGTAATTTCAGTTGCTGCTCATCCCTCTATGGAGGGAAAGCTGCAACAGGATTAAAATTTGCAAAGCCAAAACGATGATTGGATATCTGAATCACCCTTGAATCCCTGCAAAACACAATGGAATAAAGTGCATGATTAAACTAATAAGATTGATTCAATCTAATATCTTTTGAATCAAATCATTCCTTCAACCAAATCATTCCTTCAAAGGTTTCCACTCATATTTTGTATTCGTGTGTGTGTGTGTGTGTATACATACATACATACATACATACATGCATTGTAAACCAGGTATATTGTAAATAGAAAAGATAAGAGCAAAATAATGTCTTCTTCATCAGCTTTTCTATTCCTTTGCTGTTACATATTAGTTAGTATGACAATTTTGCTGGTATATTTTTGCTTTTAGCCAGCAAGATCCATAGCACATTATGGTACATACAAATATTCATGTTAGCAAAGGAGACCACATTTTTGCTGAAATGAGTCTTCAGTGCTTAAGGGTATGTTTATACATTGTTAGTTTCAGGTAAAAAATAACCCATACATAACAAACAATCCTCCCAAAAGCAGTTGTTCTGGTGACCCATCTTGCTTATTGGTCATACAGAATTGCTGCGGCTAAGTATCTCTGTGAATAATGCAGCCATTTAATACAGATGGAGACAGTTGTGTGGGTTTTTTCCTGGAATTGATTAATACTCTGCCCTCCTCTCTCTTGACAATCAGGAGAGTGTTTCAACTTACCTCACTGGTATAGTCATATGTTGTCACACATATTGCTATATATGAACTCCATGAAGCAACTTAACGTGTTTGTCCATCTAATTACAGATGCTGTTCTTCAGATTTCTAGATATTTTCCTCCTGATAATATTTAATTAATTCCTATGCCATCTTGTTTAGTTCAACTGACAGAGCACTTCTTTAAAATGGATCTTTTATCTTAAATTATTCTCTAATGAAGAATAATCTTAGCAGTGCATTCTATGTCTCTGTTTACTTCATGTACTTTTGACTGAGTTATCCTAGATCATTGACAATGAACATTTCAGTCTTGGTGTGTCAAAAATGGGGAGAGTACCTAACTTAACTCTGTTGGCATGTCATACATCCCTGAACAAAGAAAAATAATTCTCTATTTACCCCTATTCTCTTGTCAGTGCTGAGGCTGAACCTGAAGTAGAAGAAGCCCACGCCTTGACTCCAATTCTGGCATTATCACTGCTTGACAAAAAGGCCACAAGCCTTGGCGAACAGTGCAATTGCCCTCTGGTTCATTGTGTACCTTCAAACCATGTTCTCTGAAAGAGGCCTACCTAAGGCTGCACCAGGTTTATAAGACACCAAGAGGCCTTATTTCTTGAAGCAGTTTCTGAGAATGCCCTTCTGCGATTCCTGCAACTTATAAAGCCCTTCATGGTATTGGATCTGGGTACTTGAGAGACCGCCTGCTGCCAATTACCTCCCACAGACCCATTAGATCAGTGTTTTTCAACCTTTTTGTGCAAAGGCACACTTTTTTCATGAAAAAAATCACGAGGCACACCACCATTAGAAAATGTTAAAAA